AAAAAATGTAAAAAGTTTTCTGTTTAATTTAATTGCAATTTTGTTTTAGTTTTTTCCGAGCAAAAAATAAACATCATACATTTCCCCTGATTTACAGAAGAGAGCCACTAAAATGTCATTCAGTGTAACAATCTTGTCAGGCATATTTACAACAAAAATCAATTTATGACACATTAAACGACTAATTACTTCCACCCCAAATACTAATTAGTTGTAATTTAACATTTTTAAAATGTGCCACTATCCTAGGCTCCGCCCATTTGTCCGTAATAATTTTTTACTCATTTAAAACGCAGTAAAATTTAATATGCTCTCTTATTCTTTTATATATTTTAATATGTACACGTCAGAATAAGCATGTTTGAATTTTTACATAAATATTGCGTCACACTGAATGACAACGTAACATTATTTCAACCAAATTGTAACATTTGATTCTCCAAAAACTTATTTGAAACCTTAAAAGTAGACACTTTACTTGCATTTAATGTGCTTTCTATGGACATATAATCACTTTTGTAAATTTCTTTTGATGCGGACATCTTAACGTCTTTGACCCACATACTGTATATATATATATATGTATATATATCAAATGCTAGATGACAGATGAAGAACTGAGGATTTTTTTGTTGTAATTTTTGCCACTTTGCTCTAGTTCTGAGAATGGAAATCTACATTATCTACTATTGGACTGATAAAATCTTGACAAAGTGACAAGTACATGTTCGTCTCAAAATGAAATCTTATTATGAAAGTATGCTATGATCTTTCCCCCTGTAGGTTTTGAAGAAAGCAGCCATCGTTCAGAAGGCCAAGACGGCTGAGCACACTAGAACGGAGCGGCAGGTATTGGAACACATCCGCCAGTCTCCCTTCCTGGTCACGCTTCACTACGCCTTTCAGACGCAAACCAAACTGCATCTCATACTAGGTGAGCGCAGGATACACACTTCATCCTGATTCACTCGTGCATGCTGTTTTATGGATGCTATCTGTAGTATAGCTGTGTTTACAGTAGGTCTGGGTGCTTTTAGTTCTCCAGCATCTCAGTACTTTGGTGTAAACAAGATGTCACAAGCTATGCCACCTATTTTTAATGTGCAGTTTGGGGTATCACATAAAAACGCGCTGAATAGAAACGGCGAGATGTGCATCAATTCTAAATCTTACGCACTCAGCTAAATGCAATTTTTATTGGATAAGAAAACATGCGCATAAACTACGATGGAAACACATTTCAGATTTGTGGTGTTTCATGTGCACGCAGGTAATTTACTGTATATGAAGAAAGAGCCACAGTGGCTTCTCCTACTGCAGCAAATCACCGTTTTCTTAGTGATGTTTGCTGCCAGTTTATCAGGAAGTGACGGTTTTGTTCTCTTCGTCTTATGTGATATTCCAATTTTGCGCACAAGTTAAATTCACAGCTTTGGATGGAAGCATAGCTACTGTAGGATATACATGACTTCTAAATGCTTGCTTTAAAGTGCCCTTGATATTGACATTCCTGATATTGTTTTGGGAGGCTCCTACAATAGGTTCACATGCATGCAAGGAAACGCTTTAGTTTTCTCAAAACATGCGTTTAATATCACCTCATTTTCCAGCGATTCCCAAACGATTAGTTCGAATCAGTCTGAGTTTCAGTCTCTAAACCCCTCCTCTCCGGCAGCCTGCTCTGCTCTGATTGGTCAGATGGCCCGGTCTGTTGTGATTGGTCTACTGTATACAGCGCGTGTCAGAAACGATACACCGACTGCCATAGTTATGTATCTTAAGCGCTCGATAGAAAATATCAACATCAATTATTAATCATACTTACAGGTTGTGATTCAGTGGAGTCAGCTGGTTCTAATAAACTGAGTACTGAGCTGAGTACTGAGCTCATCTTCCAAGAATAAATAAATAAAATATAAATATTAGATGAAGAACTAAGTGAAAATTAGGAATGTTTCCAACTAAATGAAATACGTTGAAACACTAAAATTACTAACTTGAATAAATAAACGAAAACCGAACTACATTTAATTATTTAGCAGACGCTTTTGTCCAAAGCGACTTACAAATTAATTTTAAATAAATTAGAGCGATTAGAATATAATTGAATAGAACAGAATTGAATAGGTAAGTGCTAGTATTAATTGGTCAGGTGCTGACGAAAAAAGATGACAAAAAGGTCCGTGATAGTGATTTTGTGCCTCTTTGGGATGGCACCACAAGGCGCCATTCACTTGTAGAACGCAAGCTTCAAGGGGGCAAGGGCGCATAAGTCTGAACTAGTAAGTTTAGGTATATTGGTGCAGAGCCAGTGGTTGTCTTATAGGCAAACTATCAGTACCATGAATTTGATGCGAGCAGCTATTGGCAGCCAGTGCAAACTGATGAAGAGAGGTGTGACGTGGGCTTACTTCGGCTCGTTGAAGACCACTCTGGCTGCTGGATTCTGGATCAGTTGCATAGGGTTGATAGTACATGCCAAGAGAGCAATAGTACAATAGTCCAGTCTAGAGAGAACAAGAGCTTGGACAAGGAGTTGTGCGGCCTGCTCTGATAGGAAGGGTCTAATCTTCCTAATGTTGTATAAGGCAAATCTGCAGGACCGGGCCGTTGTAGCAATGTGGTCGGTGAAGATTAACTGATCATCCATCACAACTCCAAGGTTCCTGCTGTCATGGAAGGACTTATGGTTGACGAACCCAGCTGTATAGAGAAGTTGTGATGAAGTGCTGGGTTGACTGAGACCACGAGCAGTTCTGTTTTAGCAAGGTTGAGTTGAAGGTGATGGTCCTTCATCCAGCTAGAAATGTATCTCAGGCAGACTACAATGCGAGCAGCTACTGTCGGATCGTCTGGTTGGAATGAGAAGTAGAGTTGAGTGTCATCAGCATAGCAGTGATAAGAAAAGCCATGTTTCTGAATGATGGATCCTAAAGATGACATGCAAATAAAGAAGAGAAGCGGTCCAAGCACTGAGCCTTGAGGAACCCCAGTAGCAAGAAGTTATGACTTAGAAACCTCACCCCTCCAAGACACTCTGAAGGACCTACCTGAGAGGTAAGACTTGAACCACTGGAGTGCTGTTCCTGGGATACCCATCTTCATGAGGGTTGACAGGAGAATCTGGTGGTTAACTGTGTCAAAAGCAGCAGACAGATCCAGCAAGATGAGTACTGAGGATTTGGAAGCTGCTTTTGCCAGTCTCAGGGCTTCAGTAACCGAGAGCAGGGCAGTCTCAGTTGAGTGGCAAAGAAGAGTGAAGGTGGTCTTAAAAAAGTGTGCAAGAGTCCGAGCAATTGTTAATTTTGTTGTGGTAGTATATTGTTTTAGAACATCGAACAGTGGAGCAAAGAGTGTCAGTAGCAGTGTAAGTGTCCAGTGCTGAAAACTGAGAGGGTGGAGGAAGTGAGCATGAAACCATAGTGGATAGGCGAGAGGGAGGGAGTGAGCGTAGGTTACGCTGAAAGGTGACCTGCAGAGGAGTGCGTGTTGTGTCAGGAGTCAGTCTGAGGTTTAAAGTGATGAGGAAGTGGTCTGAGGTGTGCAACTGAGTAACTAAAGTGTTATCAATGGAGCCGCAGCGTATGAAGATAAGGTCTAATTGGTTATCTGATTTGTGAGTAGCTGTAGTAGACACTCACTTGAGGTCAAATGAGGCGAGCAGAGTGGTGAAGCCAGCAGCCTGGGGGTTTTCTAGGTGGATGTTGAATTCACAGAGTAGCACCAGAGGAGTACCGTCCTCAGGGAAGTTTGAGAGTAACACATCCAAATCCTCCAAGAAGTTACCCAGTTGACCTAGGGGACGATAAACAACTACAAAGTGGATTTTAGCAGGGTGGGTAATACTAATTGCGTGTGATTCAAATGAACTGTTGCCAGTAAGAGATGGCAGAGGATCAAATTTCCATTTATTTGAGATAAGCAGACCAGTACCTCCACCCCTCCCAATCGGACGAGGGTTGTGGGAAAAAGTGACGTTAGTGGAGAGGGCTGCAGGAGTGGCAGTGTCCTCCGGTTTGATCCAAGTCTCAGTTAGGGCCGTGAGGTTGAGACCGGAATGAGTAGCAATAGATGAAATAAAGTCTGCTTTGTTTACAGCAGACTGGCAGTTCCAGAGACTAATTGGAATAGAGAGTAAAGTAGTAGAGGACATAGGGAAAGTACTCAGTACAGTGTGTGATTTACGAGTGTTATGAGTAATAGTAGAGATTTGAAAGCACAGTGAGAATAATTGACTAAAACAAGTAGATGAGAAAAAGCTGTACAAAAAGTAAAGAAAGGGGAGAAAAGCAGTACTCAAGTGTCTTGTCGGTGGAGTCGCGCAGGTAGAGTCGCTGGTCTTTACACTCGCCGGTCTTCACACGAGGGATGCCGCAGTGTACTAACCAATTATATACTTGCCTGATACCTCGTTATTGAATTCAGCTGGCTACGCCTTACTACTTAGCAAACCGAAACTGAAAAGCCATGTGATGCGCACGAGAACAAATGCGACTTGAGCACGTGTTTACCACGGTAACCACCGTAAGCAAAACAATGTTTCCTACCAATGACAACCGCGCTAAAATCTAATAAGAAAAAGCTGCTGTCCTCTACTGTTGCTCGACTGCTTCTTCTAAAACTAAATCTGAAATAAAAATTATTTATTAAATGGATAGTTCCGGTGCTTGATTCTGATTGGCTGAGCCGCGTTCGAAGCTGTTGTAAATGACGCTACAAAGTAACACACACCTTTGTTTACGTTTGTGTGTTGCTCGGCAACCACTTTGTAGCAACCACAACTGTTTCTGAGGAGCTACATTGTTTGGTGGAAGAATACTGTGTTTATTAATATCATTACACTTTATTTACTCTGTTTTATTTTGTGAAACCGTGCTACGTATATGGAATAACCGTTTTATAAAAGCAGTAACCCCGTGAAGCCGTGGTTTACAGTGAATTTATAACAGCTAAGGGGCGTTGTTATGCACGACGCGAAGCTTCAGGCTTCTTGGGGCTTATTGCTTTATTAAACATAAATAGTCATATTTAAAAAGAACAAAAACTAATAAAAAGTACAAAAACTTTGTCTGTTATGAATCATATTAATGTCTGTTCCCCAAAAAATAAAATAAAATGTCAGTTATTTAATTCACTGGATTATCTAAAAATAACCATTGTTATGTAGCTGGGTGAAATATAGTTTTTTTTTAGTTTTCAGCACATTTAACTATGCAATGTAAAATGATGCAAGACATCGGTCACAACACCCACCCCTAGATGTTTAGCTCTAGATATTTGTCTTTTAGTAAATTGGTGTTTTTTGGAAAATGTTGTGAGTGTGTGTTTGTTTCGGAAGACTATGTGAGCGGAGGAGAGATGTTTACTCACCTGTACCAGAGGGACCACTTCTCCGAGGATGAGGTCAGGATCTACGTGGGAGAAATCATTCTGGCCCTGGAGCACCTGCACAAGGTACTAACATCCGCTCGCATTGAGCGCATCACGCATGCAATTAATTAAATATGCTCAAAACCATGCATTCTTAAAAATATTCAGCTGGATATTTTTATGCCTAAATTATTTGTCAATTAAATGCAGATAGGAAAAGGAAGTCCTTTGTGGTTATTGTTTGGGAGAAATGTATGAATGTACATTGTATGGGTCAACATTATACATTTCTCTTTTATGCTAAAAATCATTAGGATATTAAGTAAAGATCATGTTCCATGAAGATATTTAGTAAATCTCCTACCGTAAATATATCAAAACTTAATGTTTGATTAGTAATATGCATTGCTAAGAACTTCATTTGAACAACTTTAAAGATGATTTTCTCAATATTTAGATTTTTTTGCACCCTCAGATTCCAGATTTTCAAATATTGTCCGATCCTAACAAACCATACATCAATGGAAAGCTTATTTATTCAAAAAAATTGACACTTAAGACTGGTTTTGTGGTCCAGGGTCACATATGATCAATGTTTTGTGAGTGCTGTATCTGGTCTTGTGTTTTCAGCTCGGCATCGTGTACCGGGACATTAAGCTGGAGAACATCTTATTGGACAGTGATGGTCATGTGGTTCTGACAGACTTCGGGCTGAGTAAGGAGTTTCTGGAAGAGGAGGTGAGAAAATAAAAACTCATCATGCATAATCGCCCGGTTTCACAGACAAGGCTTAAGCACTAAAATGCATGTCTGTTCTGTTTTACCTGAAAGACACTTGCACTGGCTGATCTTAAAATACGTCAGTGCCTTTGTTTGGTCTCAAGATGCACACCAGAAATGTTTATAAAAGATGTCTTAATTAAACTATGGCTTAATTCTGGCTCAGTCTGAGCCCTGTTTGTGAAACTGGGCCGATAACTGTAGATTAGATAGTTTTTTCATTGCATGCACGTTGTGCAGTGTGCGGTTCTCATGCTGCTGTGTTTGGTTCGTGTGTAGAAAGAGAGGACGTACTCATTCTGTGGCACTATAGAGTACATGGCTCCAGAGATCATCCGAGGGAAAGCTGGCCATGGCAAGGTGAGAGGAGACAAATCTCACAGAGGAACTTCAGATTAAAGTATGCCATTTAAAAACGTTTCAGTTCATATCATTGACAGTAGGGCTGCAACTCACGATTACTGTGATTAGTTGGCCGATTATTTTTCGATTAATCGGATTAAAAGCCTCTTCTTTTTTTTTTTTTTTGACATGCCCAATGCTGTTTTCTTTCAAACGAACGTGCCAACTGAATGCTATGAAAACATACTGTATGCTGAATCATGCCATTTAAAAACGTTTCAGTTCATATCATTGACAGTAGGGCTGCAACTCACGATTACTGTGATTAGTTGGCCGATTATTTTTCGATTAATCGGATTAAAAGCCTCTTCTTTTTTTTTTTTGACATGCCCAATGCTGTTTTCTTTCAAACGAACGTGCCAACTGAATGCTATGAAAACATACTGTATGCTGAATACATCTCTGTGCTATACATTGTGTTTCCAGCAGCAGCTCGCTCTGTTTCATCCGCTTTTGTTTCGTCCATAGAAATGCGTTATTCCGTGCTGTAATTTGTGCGGTGGGCAGACGCGACTAATGGATAATCTCATTCGTTGTCGATTATTGTCATTATTGATTATTAACGATCTTAGCGATTAGTTGTTGCAGCCCTAATTGAAATGGAACAAGAGATGTAATTGCAAAAAAGAAAATCAAGGATTTAGCATTTTTATAAATCGCTTTTCTTGATGATTGAGCACTTTGGTAAATAAAATATCTAATCTTTATTGCGATCATTATTTGCAGACATGATTCTCAATACTGTAATTTGCCATTGACTTAAGTTTATTATGTATATTAATTCTGTTTTGATTCCATGCACATTAAGCTGTGAGAAAAATCTATAATAATATACATTTTGTTTCCACAGTAATGAGTTTTTTTTCATCGCGTTACATTGATGATGGCTTTTTATTGCATTACATTAATGCGGTAAAATTAGATTTTTAAAATTATTCCGAGTCTTAAAATTATTTTATTTTTTTTTATATTTGATTTTCGTCATTAATATGACTCGGGCATGTTTGAATGGTAATTATTTCTCATGGAGGAGCGAGTTTGTCATTTTATTATAGAAAATAATATCCTATTTGATTTGATTGTTTAAATATCCTTTTTAAAAATTGTAACATTAGCGATATATTTTAAATGGTTTTCCGTCTTGCATTTTTTTCTCAAAATGATGGATGTCATTATAAAAGTAAGTTAACAAAAACTCTTATTTACAGAAGGTGTGCATTTGACAGGGCTGTCTCTGAGACGATTAGTTGTGCAAGCCCTATGTTATATAAATGTATATATTAAAAATATAATGTTTATGTGATTTCGTTCTTTTTAACAGCTCCCACTCACTGTAGTGTAGTGGTGACATCATATTATTCCTGTGAACATTTTTCAGCATTATATTAATAAAAGCGCCTGTGTTTAAAAATACATCTGTTACCATACGGTCCAAAAGGGTTAACAAAAGAACTTTTGGATTGAGCCCTTCTTGTAAACTCAATTCGGACAGAAGTTAAATTACCACAAGAACCTGGTGTCAGAGAGCAGGAGAAATGTCATGCAGCTGGTGGGAGAAAACAGCAGGGTTGAGTGAGCTTCTGATGTCTGTAGGTGGTGGACTGGTGGAGTTTGGGGATTCTGATGTTTGAGCTGCTGACGGGAGCGTCTCCGTTCACTCTGGAGGGAGAGAGAAATTCCCAGAGCGAGGTGTCCAAGTGAGTCTGACGGTGTTCTCCAGATTCACAGCGTTTAACAGCTGCTGTTTCCAGACTTCCCTGAGCTCTGTGTCTCTGACAGACGCATCCTGCGCTGTGAGCCTCCATTCCCCTCCATCATCGGACGCTTGGCTCAGGATCTCCTGCGAAGGTTACTGGTGAAAGACCCCCATAAGAGGCTGGGCTCTGGACCCCGAGGAGCCGAGGAGATCAAGTCTCATGCTTTCTTCAAGGTGCTCTGTCCTCTTTCTTTTTGCCTTTCAGCTGTTCGTATTCCTCACGTTTGAACTCTGTGGTTAATCTCGTTGTGTTCTCTTAATTAGTGATGAACTGACATTTTGGCGACTTTGGGTTTCGGCCAAAACAGTTTAGGAATGGATTAAGCCCCTCCCATGTTTTCTTATTCGGTAAACTCTTTGTTTTAGAAGGATGTCACAATACCACAGTAAAGTATGTGGCAACATTCACTGCTTGAAGAGTGAAAGAACAGAGACCAGTTTAATTGTTTAAAAACCAGACAAACGTCTTTATATAAAATGTTTAATGTGAAAGGTTTAGAATGTAAAAACAAAAACACTTGATATTTTGTTATTAAATTGTTAAGTGGCTTAGGTGTCCACATTCACTCTGGGGTCAGTGTAGATGGTCAGGCATCTCATCTGATTGATCTCTCCAGGGTCTAAACTGGTCCGACTTGGCAGAGAAAAAGGTTCAGAGTCCATTCCGACCTGAACTACGTAATGAGTTGGATGTGGGTAACTTTGCGGAGGAGTTTACAGGAATGGAGCCGGTTTATTCCCCTGCCAGCACTCCACCCAGTACAGACCGTCTGTTTCAGGTACCTGCACATGCAGACACACCTGTCCTGAGTTCCTTTCATGCAGACAATACAATACAAGCTATTTCCTGCCACAGCCCTCCATTATTAATATCAGCAGAGTCACTACACACACACACACACACACACAGTCACTACACACACACACACACACACACAGTCACTACACACACACACACACACACACAGTCACTACACACACACACACACACACACAGTCACTACACACACACACACACACACAGACACAGACACACACACACACAGACAGACAGACACAGACACACACACACACAGACAGACACACACACACACACACTACACAGACAGACATAGACACACACACACACACACACACACACACACACACACACACACTCTAATGTAACAGTCTCTCTGTCATGTATACCCTGTTCTATGAGGTTTTTATACAGCTTTTACACATTACCGTTAAAAAATGCAGCTTAAATTAACCTTAGCTGGCCAGAACATACCAGTCTAACCTTGCTCTAAACTCAGAAGTAGGGTTGCAAAGGGGTGGAACATTTTTGGAAACTTTACAAAAATCCCTGGAATATTCCCAAAAATTCTGCAATGTTTCCCAAATTTACTGGAAATTTTCTACGTTTTTGCAACCCTACTCGGATGTAAAGAATCGTTTAGACAGTTTTTAGAGTATTGCAGTGACTGTGTTTCCTTCACCGTTTTCTGCAGCAGCACAAGAGAGATATAGGTTTATATTCGTGAGCTTGTATTACGATTTTAATGTAACGAGAGACTGGGATGCTATGAAAGTTACTAATAGCATACAAAGTCTGTCTCGTTCATTTATAATTGCGTGGGATTATTCATATTTATATGCACAGGAGAACAACTCAGCCTAATTCACAGCACACGTACATTAACTTGTTCTTAACCTTGCTGTAATGCCTTGTTCGTAAAAATGTGAGAATGTTCTTATGCAGAATTCACATGAACATTTTTGCATATACACAATTAGTGAATGAGAGCCCATGTCTGATTTAAGGCAACAGACCTTGGACACTGAAAGCCGTCTGTTCACGTCCTACTCGAAATAAACCAGAACTGTTATGTGAATTGCTAAAAATGCAAATTTCATGAAGTTGGTTCTTCTGCAAACACAGAATCCTGTGGAAAACACTGCCCTGGCTTCATGCTAACTGAGAGTAGCATAGTAAAAGTGATGCTTTCTGGACGTACCGAGCGCTCTGGCAACTACATAGCAGTGTGCTAGAAACAACTCTAAACACCTAGTATTACGTTAGTATTACATATTAGGAATAATATGTTGTCATGATATTTACATTTTTAACTTTGATGGAATACCTTGAAACATATAGATATTCAAAACCATTTTCAGTACCACAGGGAAATATTAAGGACATTGAGCTGTATCTAAGATGCTGTTTACCAGGGCTGGGAAATATAGTTAAACTGTATCTCAATATTTTTCCAAATTTTGACAATACTTCAATAATTTCCCGTTGTTCTTGAAAAATGTCAAAAGGTGATTTTTGTTTGGTTTGTTACTGTTACAAAGTACATACAGATATCATTTACTGCCACAACAGTCAACATCGTTTGCAAAAATAATCGCTAACAAAATAATAATTATAATATATATAGTGACCACTTATTGCTTTTTACCAAATTAACTAAAAAGGAACATTTAAAATCATATTTACTATGAGGTACCAATATGAAAATCTACAAAGGTTCTTCAGGCATAAAATTAATAATAATAATAATAATTCTAAGACAATATTATAATGGTAACACTTCACAATAAGGTTAATTAGTTAATTACTTTAGTTAACATGAACTAAGCATGAACAACACTTCTACAGCATTTATTAATCTTAATTAATCTTAATCATTACTGAGGCCGATGCGATACGCATCTCGATGCCTAGCCAACCATACGATACATTACAGATACATATGAAGCAGCTACCGATGCGATATGATACAATTCACCGCTGTTACGATGCAGTGCGATCCGATGCAATGGAAAAATATCACTTCTAATATCTCGAGGCCTGTTTCATTAAACACGTTCATCAAATAAGCCAGGATTATTTTCAGTGACTCATTGTCAAATGATTTGGTTCCATAAAGCAAATTGAACACAGGCCTAGATCAAGCTCTGACTCTCTCACATACTATTATTTGACTTATTTTATTTTAGTTTCTAGCCATGCAGCCTTTCTCTCTGGTTTTATTACAGCTGTACCTTTTATAGTTAGCAGAACATTACAATCTAAAATCGCTCTTTAAAGCATTAAAACAACTAAATTAAAAGTTAAAATCACTGAATTAAAAATGAAAAATAAATAATAAAGAAAATGACTATTTTAACTGGTATGAGAATCACACATTAACTCATTTGAGCTTAGTAATTAGTAGCTTATATTTGGTTTACCCATTACAATAGCCCCTTTACAGTTACTGCTATCATAAAAATACATTTAAATGAAGATGAATAGATGAAGGCAAGAATGGACATCCTGATATTTGAATACATCAGTAGATCAACTAAAATGCAGTGAGAAAACGAGCAGCCGTTGTGTCTTCTGAATCCGTTCTCTCTCTGCACGTTTTAATGCGTAGCGATGCATCATAATTGGATCGTCAGCGGCAGAGTGTCAAGCCTCTTGTGGTTGATTGTGTCAGTGCTTCGCCGTGGGTCACGTGTTGTCCCTCTGTGTTTTGACCTGCTCCGGCAGAACGTGCTGTTTGCTGACGAGGCGGATGACTCGGTGTTGAAGGTGATTGATCTGGGGTTCGCGCGGTTGTTTCCGAGCGGCAGTGCGCCCCTGCAGACCCCCTGCTTCACCCTGCAGTACGCCGCGCCGGAGCTCTTCCACAGCTCGGGATACGACCAGGCCTGCGACCTCTGGAGCCTCGGGGTCATCCTGGTGGGTGCAGGAGGGTGTATATGTGTGCTTGAGGATATTTATGTATTATTGTGGATGAAGCACTGTTTCGCTCTGGACTGCCAGATGTATTGTTTTATTCAGGGGAGAGGTCATTGTTTAAAGGTTGATACCTTAAACTGTATAAATACAAAAGTAGCAAAAATCTATTTTGGTAAATTCCTGAAGTAAACTTTACTTGTTCCTTCCAAAAAAAATGTGGTTACTTAAATCATTTGGTGCTGGAGATACACTGTACACAATACACTGTCCGTCCTATCTGTCTGTCTGTCCGTCTGTCTGTCTGTCTATCTATCTGTCCTATCTGTCTGTCTGTCCTATCTGTCTGTCTGTCCTATCTGTCTGTCCGTCCATCTATTCTATCTGTCCTATCTGTCCTTTCTGTCTGTCCTATCTGTCTGTCTGTCTGTCTATTCTATCTTTCTGTCCTATCTGTCTGTCCTATCTGTCTGTCTGTCCGTCCATCTATTCTATCTGTCCTATCTGTCCTGTCTGTCTGTCCTATCTGTCTGTCTGTCTGTCTATTCTATCTTTCTGTCCTATCTGTCTGTCCTATCTGTCTGTCTGTCCGTCTGTCTGTCCTATCTGTCTGTCTGTCCTATCTGTCTGTCCATCCATCTATTCTATCTGTCCTGTCTGTCTGTCCTATCGGTCCGTCCTATCTGTCTGTCTGTCTGTCTGTCTATTCTATCTTTCTGTCCTATCTGTCTTTCCTATCTGTCTGTCTGTCCGTCTATCTATTCTATCTGTCCTATCTGTCTGTCTGTCTGTCTGTCTGTCTGTCTGTCCTATCTGTCTGTCCTATCTGTCT